TGGTGCCCAGCCGATGCTTCTGTTGCGGCAAGCCTTTGCGTCCCGGTGGCTCTAGGGCAGGCGCCCTCGTCCTCTTCATCGTCTGCTGGTAACAAAAACCGTCACCCAATCATACATACGCATAAAAAATCGAAGACCCTTTTGGAAATATATAATAGGGATCTTGCAAGAAAATGAACTGAAATTTGAAAGGACAGGTTGTTCTTCGTGGTTGCGGAGATCTGTCTGCTAGCGGGATCGGTAGAGAACGCGTACCACACAAAGTACAGGACGATGTTCATGGACAACCCTCCCGATTGCCAGACTCTTCGGAAGGGCGTGTTCGGTGCAGGAGCTGCCTTCGTCTTCTTCACGGCCATTGCCTCTCAGTTTTACTACTTCTTCTACTCCAACGCCTTGGAAGCTTCTCTATCTCCCTATTAGCTTTATCAACGCGCTGGTTTTTTCTTTTCCCCACATTCTCTTTTGTTGTGTTCATCTTAATCAGTGTTTTACACATTGTTATTACAAGAATAATCGTGGGTTTTCCGGTTTGTTCATTGCTGTAGCTTGTGTAGTTACTTGTATAGATACTGTATTGATGATGATGTCTTGGAGATTTGCTCAATGTAATCACAAGTTTCCTTTCTTCTTGTTGATACTTGTATTGTAATGATGGTGATGATGATGATGGTGATGAACTGAGCCAAAGGCCCATTTAGTCCCAATTTATGAGACCCAAATATGTGCCAATTAGACTTTATGAGGCCCAAAGGCCCATTTATTCTTTTGTGCTACTATCAAATTCACTGCTAAATATAATTTTTATTTTTTTTAATTAAAATTTATAGTTTATAAGATATTATTGACCATGTGACATGGCACCTGCAGCATATGATCCTTGCCGGAAATTTTCACCAAGTTAGAGGGAACAAAATGAAGTGGGAGTTCAAAGAGGCAAGTAGACTCTTTTTTCTAAATATTTTTTATATTCTTAATATCCTTAATTTCATGGATATTTATCATTTTATCTTGCCCTAAAGTTCCAAATTAAAAATAACACTTTGGGTGCACTTGAACACTTTCTTGTCAAAGCATATTAATATCTTCAATATTTCATATATTTCTTTAAATTTGAAAATTTGAAACGATGACCTGCATTTAAATTTTGACGATCAAATATATTTGTAATAAAAAAATAATGGTTTTTTAAAACATTAAAACCTATATATGTGTATATTCAACTAATCTAATTAATTAAAGAACCAATTCTTGTATTATTTAAATGAATTTATTGCATTTTTTTGTTGGATTTGTTTTATTTGATTCGAACAAACATTTATACCCTCAGGCCAATATAAATATAAAGCATTCTCTTCCTCTATTTTGGTTATGATTAGGTTTTGTGTGTCCAAACCTATGATTAGCGACGTAACACTTTACAAGACATAAATTTGGAAATACATAGCTCCAACATAATTCTAATTAATTACCGCGAAACTAATTATAATTATCAATTGATTATTTATTCATAGCATGCTAAAATATTTAAATCCGAATATATTCAACTGTCGGTGCAATTTTATCTTCAATATATTTTATTTTGTCGTCGTTTCTATCATCAATACACATATCAAACACAATGATATAGATTAATTTCCAATATTTCGGTACACTGTTTTATAATTAATTATTAATTAAAGAACCTTAAGCAGATTAGTATTAATGGAAGAGAAATGGTGCATCATCATCATCATGTACACAAAATATATATTATTATTATAATTATAATATTTTTGTATATTTTAAAGGTCGTGATTAAAATTCAGTGGTTTAGGACAGGAACCCTCACAGGCTTAATTAACTAAACCAGGCTGTGTTAGGAATCAACCCATGTGGATGTGTCTGTGATTACATTTAAATTTGAAAACCTGTTCTATTGGGTTGCCATTTATAACCGTATAATTAATTAATTAAATTTTACAAAAAAAAAGGGCTAAAGATATTATTGGATCTCATTAGCATGATTTAGCTGTGCTAATCTAATCATTTATTAGAAATGAGTAGGAACCATCCTAGGCTTATTGTAACCCTTTTAAGTATTTCGCTAATATGTATAAAATAAAATAAAAAATTAGTCTCTAGCATTTAGAAACTCTATGTAACAAAAAAAAAGTTTTATTACATGGGAAAAAAAAAAGAAGATTGCAATTTTATTTAGCAAAGTATTTCATTTATTTTATGAAAATTTAAATTTGATTTATGCAAAAAGTTTTGGACAGACCATATACAAAAGATGGAAAAGTGAAAGAACCCCATGTCTTGTAATAACACACACAGCAGCGAACAAGCAACAACTTTACAAAAATATTTAGCATTTATCATTATTCAGAAGAAAAAAAAATATTTGAGAGTTTTGTTTTTAATAATAAAAAAAAATATCTTTTGAGAGTACATATGATGTAATGGACAGCTTGCATATGCACTTTGCCAATAGGAAACACAGACAAACTAGGCATTTAAAATTTAACAATTGGATTCTAATATATTATTTATAAGAATTAGAATTCGACTCTACGTGTATCCTAAATTCCACCAAATTAGTTCACGGATATATCTCACATTTATTAATCTAAGTTATTGTCTTGTGTATATATATATATATATACATGTATAATATAATGTATGAATCTTTAATGAAAAATGTATTTTTTTAAAAAATAGATTTTATTTAATAAATAAAAGAGGTACAGCCACGTTTAAGGCCGCCACAGGCCGCTCGCTACTTAGAGATGTGGGCTCACCTCGTAGGCCCAAAAAAGTCCAACATAAGTAAATAACAATAACAATAATAATGATAATAATTACTTTTTGTCATTTATTGGTTTAATAATACAATCTTTTCAGAATTTCGAAGTGAAAAAAGAAAAAAGAAAAATAGTAAATAAGCATTTATTTAGCATTGTGTGGTTTTTTCGTACGGGAGATATGGAAGAAGGTCTTTTCGGTACGTCTATTTCATCCGTCACGTTTTGCTGTTTCTTCATTTTTTAAATCATTTATTAATCGATGTAAATTCACTTTTTTTTTTTACTCTACTTATTTTTACCGTTTCACGAAATGATCTCTCTTTAGAACTAGAATTAGTTTTAGTCGATTTTCTTTTTCAGATCCCACATTAAGATATTATGCTCTTTTCCCTATACATAATCCAAAATTTACTAGCGTTTTTTTTTAATGTTTTTTCTTGCTGATTTTAATGGTTTATTATACGTATTACATATAAATAGCCAAAAAGTGAGATCGTATAAAATGTTTGAAAATTATATCATTATATTTTATTATTTCAAAAAATCATAGATATTTACTATTATATATTAACGACTTCCAATTTTCTATGGTAAGTATTTTTACAGGCATGTTGAATTAAATTTTTTTTTAAAAAAAAGGTAAAAAGAAGATGCTAAATAAATAGATTCAATTAATACGGTGTTCTAGAAATAAATTAAAGCTAAAATACAATGGCTTCTTCCTCCCCCCTCTCTCTCTCTCTCTTGTTAACATCTCTCTCTCTCTCTCTCTCCCCAACCCATTAATCCGATCTGACTCTCTCCTCAAGCCCCATTGGAGAGTTTGTGGATTCTCGGAAACCCTAATTTACTGAACTCGAAGAACTCGAAACAGAAAGTCAAATCCTGTAAGCGTGTCGGATCGTGCTTTGAGAGTGTTGCAGGGGCATTTTCCCTGTCTGGGATGGGAATGCCCTTGCCCCGACCAAGAACTAGACGACTAGCAAGAAGATGAGCCCACGAAACGACGTCGCCCAATTCGACGAAGAAGAAGGTAACGAGTGTTTCTACGAGTCTCTCGACCGCGTCCTCTCCTCGTGCTCCTGCTCCACTTCAAACTCCGACTACGACTCCGACCCTGGCATTTCGGATTCGGCCCATGATCCGAACCCCTTTCCCGTTCCCAAGTTCCCTATGGGCCCTCCTGGGTTCGAACTGTGGAAATCCGAACCGGAATCTGTGTCGGAGAGGCGAAGCAAGCTCTTGCGCGAAATGGGTCTTAGCAACGACCCGGATCTCCCACCGGCGACCCAGTTTCGGCCCGGAAGCCGAAGAAGGGAAATGGGTAGTGCCCATTTTTCCCGATCGGTTTCATCTGATGGTTTGACCCGAAAGCATCACCGGGAAAGTTTCGCCTGCGGAAACGGCAGTGTGTCTTCTGGTCCATCATGCTCTGTCCGGCTGAGATCACACGGTGCAGCGACCGACAATGTGGATCATGATCAGCTCCAACTGCGTAATGTTTCTTCGTGTTCTTGTTCTTCATCAACGCATTCTGTTTGTTCTTCTGTAAATACGCACAACGATAAAGCCATTTGTTCCAATGTGGATAGTGGTGGGAAGCCGTGTACACGAAGCAACTGTAACCGTTTGTCTGTTTGTGGTGCTGATTTTCCAAGTAAACGGCCGGTGAAATGCCCTTTTAGGGACACTGGAGAGAAACCGAGGTTAAGTAGTAGTTTAAGCTGTAACTCATCTCATGCAAACGGCACAGATGTTGGTCTGGAGGAGCAAATGTGCACAATCAGGAATCTAGATACCGGTAAAGAGTTTGTGGTGAATGAGGTTCGGGAAGATGGGATGTTGGAGAAGTTGAAGGAGGTTGGTACTGGTCGGCAATTGACTCTGGAGGAGTTTGAAATGTGTGTCGGGACGTCCCCAATTGTCCTTGAGTTGATGAGGAGGCAAAATGTGGAAGACGTTAGTAAAGATATAAGGGAATTGAACACAGACAGTAATGGAAATAGAGTGACTAAGCACAGACGAAGAGGTAGTTGGTTAAAGAGTATAAAGAGTGTTGCTAGTAACATGACTGGGTACAAAGAGAGACCAAGCACAGATGACAGAGATTCCTTGTCAGAAAGAGGTCAGAGGTTTAGCTCTGCAACTGATGATAGCCGCGATATGTCCTTTCATGAACCAGAGAGAGTTAAGGTCAGGCAGTATGGAAAGTCGTGTAAAGAGCTCACAGCACTTTTCAAGAGCCAAGACATTCAGGCCCATAAAGGGTCAATTTGGAGTATTAAGTTCAGTCTGGATGGCAGATATCTTGCAAGTGCTGGTGAGGATCGGGTGATTCATGTTTGGCAGGTTATCGAATCAGAAAGGAAGGGAGAACTTTTGTCAATGGACAAACCAGAGGATGGGAGCATAAATTTGTTCCTTTTGGCAAATGGGTCACCAGAACCTGCGCTAGTATCGCCGAGGAGAAGAGGGAGAACATCTTTCAGCCGCAAATCAGTGAGCTTGGACAATACCGTGGTTCCAGAGACAGTTTTTGGTCTTTCAGATAAACCAGTCTGTTCATTTGTAGGGCATCTGGATGATGTGCTTGACTTGTCATGGTCCAAATCTCAGGTTGGTACCCACACATTCCATTTTGCCCAAAATATGATTCCGTGAAAGTACTGCCAACCTTGTCTCGAGAAAACTTATCTATGCAAAGCTACTTCAAGTTGCTAAATGCCCGGGATTATGTTTTCTGAATGGGTTTCAGACAATATTGTTCATGAATCAGATGCAGTTTTGAATTAGTTAAGAATGGTTTCACTCTTTGTTGTTTTTGGTTACAGCGCCTTCTTTCCTCTTCAATGGACAAGACAGTTCGCTTGTGGGATTTATCCAGCAAGACATGTTTGAAAGTCTTCTCACATAGTGATTATGGTAAGCTAATGCATCTCTTATGTCCGCAGTCCAAAAATTCAACTTTGTTCTTAGTCTTTAGGAAACCACCATACACAATTTGCAGAGTAGAACTTCTCCAAAATGCCGAGAGTTCTGTTTCTGCTGAATGGAATCTTGCTTAACGTTATATTTCGGAATGACATCTCAGAGTGTATGGTTATAGCCTTTTCATTTAGAAATCCCTTGCAAAATTGAAAGGAGAGATGCCTTTTACAATGTATATCGGAGTCTTGTTAGGGGTATTTAGACTTGTTGGTGTAAAGATTTTTCCTCTCATTATTTTCATTTGGATTCCATCCAAAACAGTGACTTGCATCCAGTTTAATCCCATGGATGAAAGTTACTTCATCAGTGGATCCTTGGATGCGAAAGTTCGGATATGGAGCATTCCCGATCATCAGGTTGTTGATTGGAACGATCTGCACGAGATGGTTACCGCTGCCTGCTATACACCTGACGGGCTGGTACTTACCGTATATATGATCATATCTTTCGCTATAATCCGCTCTAACGGTGGTAACAAGATGATATTGTAGCTTATGATGCTCATTTTTATCTTTGAAGGGTGCATTGGTTGGTTCATACAAGGGTACTTGCTGCTTGTACAACACCTCGGGTATAATCTCTAATTGACCTCTTACCTTCTCTTTGAACCTATAATAAATCGGTTTCATCTCGTCATTCTTTTTGCTTACCGAGAATTTTCAGAAGCTCAATTTATTTTTGTGAGAACACGTTTCTGTATTCATGTAGATAACAAGCTGCAGACGAAGAGCGAAATCAATCTACAAAACAGGAAAAAGAAAGCCAATCACAAGAAAATCACTGGTTTTCAGGTAACCAAACTACCGAGAAAAAAAACAGTTAAATTCTGTACATTTCCCGCTTTCTTTACCGTTTTTTTTTTGTTTACATACATTGTAATTATTTTTTCTTCCGCAATGGTTGCCTGAATATTCTCCTGTCATCTCAGTTTGTGCCCGGTAGTTCATCTGAAGTGCTCATCACATCTGCGGATTCACGCACACGTGTTGTTGATGGCGTTGATCTTGTTCACAAGTTTAAAGGTAACGATACTACCATTGCGGATCGGGAGGGAGTGACCACCATTAGTTTTTTTCGTAGATGGAATCGAATTACAATTTCTTGGGTCATTTCGTTTTAAGTTTTTGTCTGAGAATCATGTTTGGTATACTTCTTCAGAAGTAAAATTGACATGAATCTTTGAAGGGTCTTTAAGTGCAGTTGTGTTCTGTCGCTGCAGGGTTCCGAAACACAAATAGCCAAATCTCGGCATCTCTCACGTCAGACGGCAAATACTTGGTATCCGCGAGCGAGGACTCTCAAGTATACGTATGGAATTACTACGACTCAGATTCCCGAACTGGCAGAAGCAAACGGGTCACAGTCACAAACTCATTCGAACATTTCTACTGTCAAGACGTGTCAGTTGCTGTACCATGGCCCGGCAAGAGCACAACCCGAATCAGCAGCCCGCCCGATGAGTCGCCCTTCACGGCTAATAACCCTCCAACCCCAGTGGAGGAGCCACCATGGCTCGAGACCAACAAGACCGTCATCACCAATGGTATCATATCAAGCGCAACTAACCGCTACTTCTTTGGAGAACCTCCTGGTGGCGGCAGCCAAGACCCGAGCTCACAGCCCGAGAGTCAGCGTCGATATGTCCAATGGTTACGGACCGCAGAATCCGAGCCAGTGTGCTTCGGCTTGGTCGATGGTGATCGTTACGGGCGGCTTACGTGGCGAAATCAGAGCTTTCCAGAACTTTGGATTGCCTGTTCGTCTCTAATGGAGGTGGAGGGCTCCAAGCAACAACCAAAAAAAAAAGCTCAGTGCCATTCGCCCTTTTGTCAAAGTGTATAGATTTGACATTGGTTTAGGTGACGTTGCCAAGCTTTTAAGCCTTTTTTTTATTATCCGTCAGATAACACGGGGTGTGCGCTGCACACAGGGTGTTTGGGGCTGATAGAATTTCTTGTGATACGAGATTCTACTCAGGGGGAGTGGAACGAGAGTGAGTGAGTATTACTTGGAAAATCTTGAAGTGTACTTGACTCTTATCAAAGGAATAGAATCAGTTTGGGAATTCTTATTTTACAATATTGTGTGGGCGTATTTTCAATTGGTATCAGAGCTGGTCACTGATCGCAGGAAAGTTTTCTTTCCTCTCATATCGGTGTACGATTCAGTATCACACAATGGAAGGATTCAAAGACTCGCAATCGTTTGGAAAAACGACTATGCTTGACTCAACCAACTATGGGCATTGGAAAGTGAAGATCAGCTCTTATATTCGTGGCCTTGATGAAGATACGTGGAGTGCTGTCACTGATGGATGGACTCGACCAACTGACGTTGTTGACGGAACCATAGTGATGAAGCCAAAAATTCAATGGACAGCTCAAGAAAAAAAGGAATCGGCTATGAATCAGAAAGCGTTATCAATCATTTTCAGCAGTGTCAGTCCTGAAGAATTTGAACAAATACAAGGATGTGAAACGGCGAAGGATGCCTGGGATACTCTGGAACTTATTCATGAAGGAACTTCCAAAGTAAAAAGGAACAGACTGGATATGATTGATCTACAGTTTGAACGCCTGAGGATGGGAGATGATGAGAGCGTGAAGGAATTCTGTGGAAAATTGAGTGCATTGTCAAATGAGGCAAGTGTACTTGGGAGAAAGATTACCAACGACAAGCTGGTGAAGAAACTTCTGAACAGTTTGCCAGCTAAGTATCATTCGCAGATCCTTGTCTTTGAAGGAGTAAACAACTTGGATACTGTTACATTCAAGGAAGCTGTAGGTACCTTTGCTGCACATGAACTGAGATTGCAACTAATGAATGGAGGATCATCTGCTCATGCAAAAAGAGGAGTGGCATTACATGTACCTGAAACAAAAACAAATGAAGCAGAAGTCAAACTTCCAGTGAAAAACAAGAAGCTAACTGAAGAAGAATTGCATGATCAAATGTCACTTGTTGTCAGAAATTTCAACAAGTTCTTCAAAGGGAGGAAGAAATTTGGGAATCAAAATGATCGAGAATCTGGAAAGTGTTTGGAGTGCAAAGGTACGGGACATTGGAAGGCAGAATGTCCAAGTATTGCAAAAAGAGAAAGTGTTTTGAAAACCCTCAAAGAAACTCAGTGTTTTGAATGCAAAGGTTTCGGTCACACGAAAGTAGAATGCCTCAAGCGCAAAGGGAAGTCCTTAATCACTCATGAAGAGGATATCTCGAGTACTGAGAGCGATAGTGACGAAGAAGAACTGTCAAATTTTGTGGCATTTCTAGGAGTGATAGAAGAAGAAGCTGATCAAGATGCAAACAGTGATGATGAGGAGATTACTGAGGAACATCTTTTCAAAGATATGACCAAACTGGTGGATATGAACAAGCAACTCATAATTGAGAAACGACAGTTGGAGCAAGAACTCAGTCAAGTCCAACAACAACTGAGAGACACCAAACAGAAATTGCTTCAGAAAGAAGAGGAGGCGTCCAATATGAAATGTCAATTGGAAGGAACCAAGAAGAATATTCATCTTCTTGGTAATGGAACTGGGAAGCTTGATCACTTACTTGGCATAGGACGAAACTTTGGTGATCGGTCCGGACTTGGTTATCTGGGTAAGATACAAACTACTCCAAAGTTTGTGTCTGGAGGAAATCTGAATCAAGAAGCTCCTTCCTCAATGATCAGGAGTTCTGGATCAAAACACTTTTCGAACAATGCTACAAGACGCATACGAGCAGAGAATCGGATATGCTATCACTGTGGCAAGGAAGGACACATTCGACGGAACTGTTTCTCCCTACACAGAAACAAGAATGCCTATAGGTATACATCACCACACCATTACTATCCCACTTGGAATCTCAGATGGGTTAAAAAATCGGATATCAGGTGCAATGTTGCGTATACTTCGGAGCAAAACAACAGTGCAGGGATCTGGTATTTTGATAGTGGCTGTTCTAGACACATGACAGGAAATCAAGATCTGCTGAAAGACTTTGAAGAGGTTCAGAAAGGAGGAAGTGTAACTTTCGGGGATGGTAAACAAGGAAAAATACTGGGCAAAGGAACACTTAATCAAACTGGTCTTCCAAGATTGCATGATGTCAAGGTTGTACAAGGTCTAAAAGCAAATCTTATCAGCATTAGTCAACTCTGCGACAATGGAATGCGAGTCAAGTTTACAAAGAATGCATGCTTTGTGATGGATACAGACAACAAGTGCATTGATAATAAGGTTGAGAGCTTTTGTACGGGAAACACTGGTGAGAGTGATCTGAGAGAAAGTGAGATATACTTAAGGGGGAGCCTTGAAATAACAGGAGAACCTCTTATTGGGCCTAGACGAGGTCTGGGATAACACGGGGTGTGCGCTGCACACAGGGTGTTTGGGGCTGATAGAATTTCTTGTGATACGAGATTCTACTCAGGGGGAGTGGAACGAGAGTGAGTGAGTATTACTTGGAAAATCTTGAAGTGTACTTGACTCTTGTCAAAGGAATAGAATCAGTTTGGGAATTCTTATTTTACAATATTGTGTGGGCGTATTTTCAACATCTTATCTAAAAAGTAAATAAATTTCAAATAATTTTATTAAAAACGTTTAGGTGTATCGGATGATCTTCTAAAGTTAAATTTTTTTTTTGTCATATTTATACGAAACGAAAAATAATCTAATTAAAAAAACGTTTCTGACATGATTAATTATTAGCGAAATTAATTTGCGCAAAAGCATATTATTATTAATTTATTAAGGTGAAGGTTAACAAAGAGACAAAAAAAAAGAAAGAGAAGAGTGGTGGAGAGGGTAAAGTTAACCATAATGAACATCTGATCTGCTTTGTCCGAGAGGTGAACATATTTGAAGGAGCAAAATAATTAATATATAAAATTAACTAATAAAAATTATAAAATATAACAGATTATTTCTACATAATTATATTTACATTATCTGGTAATTCAAATTTAGGTTATTTTTGTTATTTTCTTTAACTAAAACGAAATTTACCTTATTTTAAACCAAAATACTTCCTTAAAAAAAATTGAATTTATCGATTTAATTAAGGTGCACGAACTTTATGGTATAAAAACTTTTGTCGGCCCATCCGATGAGTTTTATCCCTTCAGATGCTTCAACCAGAGTCCATACTTGGTTGTCTGATATGGATTGCATCTCGGACTTCATAGCCTCGTGCCATTTCTCGGAGTCGGGAATATATAAAATATATGTATGTATATTTGTTAAAAATAGGCGGAAAAGGGAAAATTTCCTATACCACCATTTTTAGCGACATGCCCTTCGGTGTTTTCTCTGAAGTTGTCGGAAGTCACCGAGGAAGACATATACGACATTCTTTCATATGATCATCATGTAGCCGTTTTCCTCTTCTTCTGTTTCAATGGCCCTTGTTCATGGGATCTTGGCATTATCTTTTTAACATTGATTCCGTATCTATTGTTTTCATTCATGTTCAGGCGGCGGACTTATTTAGTTTGCCAAATATTTGTGAATGTCGCTTTTATTCTTATTTGGAGGTAAAATGGATTAAAAGCAGCGCTTAAGACTTTGGAGTAGAACACTCGATCACTGCTGCATGGATTAGTAGTGGTTATGCTCAATTATACTTGACCATGTTACCAGATAAACCCATACCAAGTTCGATTTCAGATTTGTATGACGATGCATTGTTCCTCATTTGACAATTAATTAATTTACCTCAAAGATTTCGTTACAGAATTGTAGGGCCTTAACCCCGGAGGGAGCCCTTCCAGAAATTCTCGAGGGCCAGGGTCAAGCCCAGGCCCAAGAGGGGGTTTGGAAATAGTTTTCAACCAGCAATAGACGCGCTTCGGTTTTTACCTCATTAGCTGCGTCATTGCCCCAAGCGCAAAGATGCTCTCCCTTCCCCCACGCTCCTTCTTACTTATTCTCTCCCTCTCTCGCTTCCTCTCTCTCATTCTTCCGATGTGGGATTATTATTCCCCCACAGTAAGCAAAGCACAGACTAATCCAAAGCCCTTGTTCCAATCTCGCATTTCCAATTTGGGCACTACATCGGATTTTTGCTTTAACTTTAAAACAATATGGACAGGACTAGCATCAAAATTAGAAATACACAAATCTACATTACCAAATCTATACTCAAAACTTTTCAATCAGATTTGATGGGGGATAATTGCTCAGAGAGCAAACCCCCTCCAAAAATAGGCGTATGCCGCTTGATGCGACGAGCACACGGTATTCTTTAGTAAAAGGCGAAAGAATAGTTCGCTATGCGCTCATCGCACGGCTCCGTGAAGATGGACGAAGCGGCTCGGGCTCCTTAAATATAGAAGCTGTTCTTTTGTTAATCTTGATATCCGTCGATGTGGGACTAAAGAGAACCAGTTTTCGGCTATCTTCAACTGGGCCGTCTCAGTCATGGGCTGCCACCTCCAATAAAAGCCCAGACTTTACACCAATCTATATGTCGGTACAATTTATTATATGCCCTTTTATCAATTACAGCGTTGCAACGGGATTTGGATCCTTACGATTGATATTTGCTTATTATATGATTAGGAATGATCTAAAGATGACATTGGAAAGTAGACGTTTATTTTAACAAAACCCGTAATTACATTTTTATTATTAAGAGGATGAAGGCAAAAAAAAAAAAGAGTACGTGACAGAGAGAAAAACAGAAGAGGTAAAGAAGGTAGAGATGGAACATCATCGTCGTCATCAATGGGAGTCGGCGGGAAGAGACCAGTTGGCTTCGCTGCCACGGCGGGGGATGGAGTTGACACGTGTGTACACATCCACCTTGAAAGTGGAACCGCAGAGCACTCCCTCGCTGTCCACTCGAGGCATCGCCTTTATCTTGTTCATCGGATGCTCGAAGCTCATCAACCCTCCCTCGCTGTGGAACATACACCCTTCCACCCATATACATATATATACACGATCAGTATATGCATCTACTCTCAATTAATTGTATATATGGCGGCTAAACCCTAATCGATATAGAAAGTGTGTTGCCAACCAGTAGGGAAGGGAGCAAAGGACTTGGCGCATCCCTCTTTTATGACTTCCAAGTCATCAGAAATCACAACCGAACCATCCGCCGCTATTCCCCAGAACAGCTTCACTCCTCCATCAGACCCCTGCAAGTGAAACACCCATCATTATATATGCGCGTGTATATATATAGCTTCAAGTTTCGATCTTAATAACAAGATTCTGGCAGGCATGATCCGGCCGCTATATATAACGACTGTTCTATTAATGGTACCAAAGCCGCGAAGACAGAACCGTTCTTGCTGTCGTAGACGACGAAGGCAAAGCTGCCTTCGAGGTCCTTGACCACTTGGTCGGCGGGGTACGGTCCCCTGTCACGGAGTGTACGGTAGGCTTCGATCAGGAACATGGCCTCGTTTGTTGTCTTCGTCAGACCGTATTGCTTGTTCAGGTGACACAGGTTGTTCAAGCTCCCCAGGAACAGACAGTATATGTCGTCAAACCCACAAAACAACCTACACTCACCATCAGCAAATTCCAGATGATCATCGCATACAAGAACATCTTCATCATCATCTCGAACCCGACATAAACCCATGAACAAAACATAATCTTTCATATGATGGAGGATCAAATCAGACAACCAGAGAAATTTCCAGTCAAACAACGTCTGATACAAGTTCTAATTTGTTCAATCGGGCTTTGCCAGCCAGAAATGTTCTCACTAACCGGTTTTACCCCAACATCCATAGACAGATCATCATCACCATCATGTATAATGAGGTTCAAATCAGATAAACAAGGTCTAACACAATCTGAGACTAAACTCATCATCATCATCATCATATAGTGACGGATCATCGCCAGAAAAGCAGAGGAGAAAAAAACCCAGAAACCACAGAGAGAGAGGAACGAGGTCTTTCTTCAACGACATGACATACCTCTGGTGAACAGAGAAGGAGGCGGCGGGACGGACATAGGCGAGAACAGCGGCTTGTCCGAAGGACATGGAGAAAGTGTTCCGAGGGTAACGAGAGAGAAAGTCATTTAGGGTTTCCTCTGGAAGTTTCGGCGGCTTCTGACACTTGTGAGACGCCGGACTGTGCAACTCCTCCGGCGGATGAGCGAACGCTTCGTGAAATATAGCCAACATTCTTAACCAGACACACAAATGGCTCTTTATGAATCTGCTGCTAATGAGAGAATGTGGAAATAGAAAGGAACTCCAAGGACTTTCGCCGGTATTTATCCATGCGGTCGTCCCGTTGTTTGTTTTCTACGTGTTTTGGTTTTTGGTTATTTCTGTGGGAAGACGAGCAAATGGATTGATATTTGCTAATTATAAAATATGATTATAATTTCCGCAAATATATATATATGTAATATTTGATTATCTCGTCGTTTATTTGGTATTTGATATTTCCACGAGAAGTGGGCCAAGGTTCTTCAATGTCAGTGTCACAAGATAAGCATTCTCGTACTTCTATGTGTTCTTATCTTCTCACTGCAACTTTTCTCTCTCTTTTTTTTTACAAAAAATTCTAAAAAAAGAACCTAACTTTACAATTTACGAATACAAAAAATATATCAATTTTTTATTATATATATATTAAATATTAAAATATATCAAAAAATATAAAAATTTTAGAATCGAATATAATTTTATATACAATTTTAACTTATATTATCAATAATTTTATCTAAATTATTTAAAATAATTTTATATACGGACTGATTTTAACAAACTTTATTCGTAAAAAATTGATTTCGATCGTAAAAATAATATTTGAATATTTATTTATCAAATTAAAAATTCATATATTTTTTCTATATTTTACAAAATCTGGATATTTTATAGGATTTTCTTTTGTTTATAAATTATTTTATAAAATCTGGATATTTTTATAGGATATTTTTGTTTATAAATTATTTTTATCTATTTGAATTTTTTATAAAAAGTTTTATGTTTTGTTTTGGAAAATTTTTTACTTAAGAATAATTTGTTATATTAATTAATCTCGTTGAAATTTGTATCTTTTTATACATAAATTATGTGATATCCATAAACTCATAATGAAAATTTCAAGTCATTTTTATCAAAAAAAAAAATTCAAGTCATTGCTTATTTTGATTTGTATTATGAATGTCTCATTTCGGAATTAAAAAATTAGCGTTTTTCAAATTTTTTTAACATATCAATTTCTTTTGCTAATTCAGTCTTTTATTGCATATTTTATTATTTTATTTTTTGGGAAAAATATACGTGGGCACCGCAAGAGCAATGATGAAGAAGAACCTTGGAGCCTTATCCAAACGGAAGAAACTACTTTAGTTTATTCCCACTAGGTGTCGTGTCTGTTTGTTTTTGTTTTTCTCCCACCCACCTGTCTGGATTATATATTTTATTAATTACTAAAAAAACAAAGTACCATTTATTCTTCAAATTAAAAAAAAAAATAGGTAGATGGATTAATAGAATCTAGGAATTTCGATTTTTTTTTTTATGGGCATGGGCACATAGATTCAACCCAACTATTTGAAAACACAAAAGCCCATCAAAAGATTTTTGCAATGATTCAAACGAAGCCCATCAACAAATGTTTTGGGCCATAGGCCTCCTTTAACGAGTTAACATCCAGAAACGACCGTGTCTTGAGGAAGACTAAACAAGAATAAGTGAAAATGCTAAATAAATACAAATTCTTTATATGAAATTTAGTTCGTAATGCAAGTCCGGATGAGAAACTAATGTAACATATTTGTACTATTGTATATATATATATATATATATATTATTAACATTCACATTTGATTTCTTCGATCATCTGAGATATATATATAAGTGGTATTTGTATTTATATATAATAATCAAGTATTGTAAAAGTTCAACCAATCTATAAAAGTAGAGCTCCGTAACATGGAAACCTCGTAAACTTTCATATTATCAAAATATATATATACATATATCATTCATGCGGATATCCAATTTTGGGGCCAATAAAAGATTTGACGTCTTAAAAATAATTTCAATTTCGTTCAAGCATATATATATATATACAGAAAGATATTACATATAAACCCTAAAACACAAACCAGTTGTAAACCAAAGTCAGTTCACTTTGCTTGGGAGTTAGTTCTTCTAGTTCTCTTCTCCCAACTAATTAAGTACTTCTCCTGTCTGAACATAAAAGAGAATGAGAAACATTAATTTTTGAAATTAAGAAAATTAAATAGCAATTCCCTTTGTCCGTAAGACCTTAGCGACCATGTGGATTCAACAAGGAAGGAACATGATTATACAGATTATGAAGGATGATGAATAATATAAAGTGCTGCTATTTTGGCTTCTATCGGATATTTCACTTTTATTGTTGTTGTTATTATTACGTACTTCAAGTTTGAGACGATAAATTGAATTGACTCTTTTATTTTCATTAACTTATATTATGATATATACCTATATATGTATTATATTATGTGTGTACACATATATATATATATATATATATATATATATGAATCGTGCTTATATCTAAAATTTCCTTGCTCCTTTCGCTTCACTGATTTTGTGCATTATGATATTTAGCTCTCGTAAGTTAAAGAACGACCAAGACTGTTTCTCAAATAGATTAAATTGACGTATACATATATGTATAATACAGACAGTAATGTACAGCTACAGTGGTAAACGATGAAATAAACTAAACTGGTTTCTGGTCCCCGATAAGCAACTCCGCGTCTCGATCTATGTCTTGTATAATTAAAGGTTCGTTTCTCTTTTGATTATTTGTCGTACGTACGCAAATTACATATATATATATCGCGGTCTGCTTATCTGTCCGCACGTGCCAAATACCGACAGTGCCAGATCATCATGTTTGTCGTCTTATGGACAAAAGCTGGAGAGCCGTCTCTCGTTCGTCCGTTCGTTTCACCGGACTTTTCTTTTGGAACCAATATTTGGCATCTAGGGTTTGGTTTTAGATCTCCTCTTGATGCCCCAATTCATGCCGTACGATTCCATAGTGAAAATGGTGAGGAAATATTTGATTCTGTCGTTTTATATTGTTTTCATATGCGTATTTAATGTTACATGTAGATGTGGACCGACCAACTAAGCACGGCATGAATGAAAAGATGGCTATCAAATAAGTGCTAAGGTTTTGTCTAACTACCATGCATTATTCGTAGCCACGAGGTCTGCATCCAATTTATTTCATATAAAAAAATTTGAAAAGCATGGCATCTTATATTCACAAAAAAAAAAAATCAAAAGATAAAAGATGGTGCTCAAGTCATACAAGCTGCTGTCTCATGTTATGTTCCACGTTAATTTTTATAATGTTTCTTTTTTTATATTGTCTGATTATATAATTGTTTACCTATCTACTTAAATATAATATTATCATGCATGTTCACGTTACTCAGTTACTTATCATGTTTGATGTGATGGCAATGTCGAACGAACATCGTTCATTTTGCACGGCTTAAATTAAGTCAATAATAGTTGCCTCACGTAGCATCAAGAGGGAGCGGATTCAGTGTATGACATATGCTCTTTTAGCTATCATTTTATGATAGTTTTATTTAAACAATAATTAAAAAATATACCTTTTTTTATTAATTTTCGCTCTACTTGAAATTAAGGATCTCAAGCTCTTCTGCAACAAAACTAAATCGGCGGATATCAGATGTGCCGGAAAAGATCGCCGGAGAAGATGAAGTCGTTATAGAGAGAGAGAAGCTAGAGAGAGAAAAATATTTTTGTATATTCTGTTAGTTCAAACATGTACACGACTGATGTTTAAATACAGAATAAAACCCAAACCCTCTGTTTCATTCACAGGCTTACAATTGTATAATATATACTCTGATATACCCCCCTCAAGTCTATGATTCCTTTGGAGGAAGAAATAGACTTGAAGTTTGTAAGCGTTCCATCATTGAGTGAAACAGAGCAGGTTGTAAGGGTTTTGTCAGAAAGTCTGCGAGTTGTTTATCAGACTTCACGTGCATTGTGTTAAGCAGACCTTCACGCAGCTTTTCTCGGACAAGATGACAGTCCAGCTCTATATGCTTCGTTCTCTCATGACAAGCGGCATTAGAGGCGAGATACAAAGCTGACTTGTTGTCACAGAACAGATTCACTGGCAATGCAACAGAGATATGCAATTCCTTCAACAGATTCGTCATCCAGACAATTTCACAAGTTGCATTAGCTAGAGCTCTATATTCGGCTTCGGTGCTGCTTCTGGAAACTGTGTTCTGCTTCTTCGATTTCCAAGATACAAGTGATTCTCCCAGAAATATTAAGTAACCAGTTACGGATCTTCATGTATCAGGACACGTTCCCCAATCAGCATCGGCAAATGCTTGTAATTTGAGATTAGAAACTGATAAATAAAACAAGCCTTGTCCAGGATTGTTTTTGAGATACCTGATTACACGATGAGCTGCTTTGAGATGTTCATCGGTTGGAGCTGCCAAGAATTGACTCAGTTTATGCACCGGAAAGCTGATGTCGGGTCTGGTAATTGTTAAGTACAACAATTTCCCTACCAGAGCTCGATAAGAAGACAAGTCTTGTAGAAGTGTTCCTGTGTCTTTGCTGAGGTGAATGTTTGGATCCATAGGAACAGAGACTGGCTTACATCCTAATAGACCAGTTTCAGAGAGTAAATCCAAACAATACTTGCGCTGGCAAATCGAGATCCCTTTGCAGATCTTGCAATCTCTAAGCCCAGAAAAAATCTCAAGGGGCCCAAATCTTTGATGTTAAAATTCTTTCTGAGCAAGTTCTTCAAGTCATCAACTGCCTTGTCATTATTGCTCGCAATTACAATGTCGTCTACATATACTAGCAGAGCTACAAAGGATTCTCCCTGCTTCCGTACAAACAGAGAGTGATCAGCTTGCGATTGTCTGTAACCATCAGATAACAACACAGATGAAAATTTCTGGTACCACTGTCGAGAAGTCTGTTTCAACCCGTACAAGGATTTCTGAAGTTTACAGACGGCTCGGTCAGGTAACTTGATTCCTCCACTTGGTGTATAACCCGGTGGAAGGCTCATGTATATGGTTTCATCTAAGTCCCCATGCAAAAATGCATTAGAGACATCCATCTGTGATAATGACCAATTCTGCGAAGCAGCTAGAGCTAAGAGTACCTTGACTGTAACTAGTTTTGCTACCGGTGAAAAGGTATCTGTGTAATCTACTCCTTCTTGCTGAGTGTATCCCTTAGCTACTAGGCGTGCCTTATATCTGTCCACTGTTCCATCTGCTTTTTTTTTTATTTTGTACACCCACTTACACCCAATTGGTTTGTGGTATGGGGGAAACACTTGGTACGAGGTTTTTGTAGAAGAGACGTGCCCACGACTCGACTCGTATTAGAAATGTCGAAATGGGTCTGGTTTGCGAATCAATATTTTACCGAGTTGGATTAAGAAAATTCAAATCTGAAAAAAATGAGGCGAACGAGCCCGTCGTGAACCGAATTCATTGCAAATTAGATTTTATTTTTTTAAAATATTTTTTCTTATTTTTAATATTTAAATTGTGTTTTTTAATTAGGTATTTTGTTCATGAACCGATTTGTTTGGTTTGTGATCTAAAACGGGTCGAGTTGGACTAAATATTTTTCGGTTCTTTAAAAAATGGATTGGATTTCAAAAAATTTGAGATCAAAACGGGTTGAACCGATCTAACCGGATGAGTCCGGTTTACAACCCTACTCATACAAGGGTAAAACGGTAAAAGAATATGTTTGGAACCAAAGAGATAGGGGAGATGGGTTCTCCGGTGAAATCAGACCCAAGTAAAAGTGGGCCCCCCCACGTGGCTGAGCCCACGGCTCTGCTTTGCAAACCCGAACCGAAACCATCTCCGACAGGGTGTAATAATTTAATTTAACACAACTAAAAAGAAAACATTTTTTAAACAAATGAAAATACTTTTTAACAAAATTAAATATTTTTACAAAATAAAATAATTACATATACGTCCTTTGAATACAATTCTCTCTCTGTTCAATTGTGGGAAATCATGGAGAACAATGGCTATACTCGTCATACACCAAACAATGTGCATATTATGACAGGATCGATTAGATTTTGCAAATGCATTTGAGTATTTTGTTTTCTGCATTTCATACTTTTTACAAAATTTTATAAATAATAATACTTTAGTTTTATAATCCGATCAACTTTATTGTCTTAAAATTTTACATAAAATAGTTTATAACATCTATATATTCATAACATCGTTTTAAAATTTAGATAGTGCAGCCGGAGTACTTGCACCGAACCTCCATATTTATATATATATATATATATATAAGCAAAGGTTTAATTAAAATGATATAAATATATAATATTTGTATTTGTATATTTTAATGTTTAATATTTATTTTAGAATATTTTCCCAAAATCTGACTCCGGTAATACGTTGGTGCACATTTCATTTGCTCGCCATAAATTGAGATCTATTTGCACAATTTCATTTTCTTCTATTTTTGTAACAATTATAAAGACTTTGTTTTTATTTGTTGGGTCTAATATAAGTATATCTAACTTGTTTGTCGGATCCTATGAACTTTATTATTATTATTATTATTGAGTTGTTGGACCAAGATTAGGCTTTGATTCATAGGTTTGTGACAAGAAAATTGAGATTTAATTCAGCTTAATTACTGTTATAGATTAATATTTTATCGAGTAAATTAAAGAAAAAAATCTCCAGTAACTTGATTTTTTGTCTATAAAAAAAAAGATAATAAATTTCATTTTGTCTATAAAAAAATAGTTCGGCCCCACTTAGAGCTGCAGGTACTTTTACACCGTACCCATGTCTATTTCGTTTTCTATAAATTTCATATCTCCCCTCCCACTTCCATCATCATCATCATCTCCACTTCTCATTCTAGAGAGTTCCTCAGTTCCCAACCCTAGAAGACAGGTTATTTCTCATCGTGCATGGCATTGAGCCTCCTGTCTCACGAGGTATCGGACCTCTGTCTCGGCAAGCCACCGCTGCGGTGTCTCTCCGCCGTCTCCGCCACTGTCTCCGACGCCGTCGCCGCCCTCAAATCCTCCGGCGAGCCCTTCCTCAGTGTCTGGGGTTGCAACCACCAGCATCACGAGGACGACGAAGAAAACGATGGGTCAGATTGTGAGTGTGTCGGGAAGATCTGCATGGCCGATGTGATCTGTCATCTGTCCAAAGACGAGAACACCCTCTTGTCTCCTTCTGCTGCATTGAAAGCACCCATCTCTGTCCTTCTCCCCGAAACCCGTGCCCTCGTTGTCCATGTCCAACCCTCCTGCAGGTCTGTATATATACACGTGTATACGTTCTTGGATGAAATTCAGACATGGGTCTTTGTTGGTTTTCTCAGAAATCTCGAAATTCTGTCTCTGTTACTCTGTTTCCTGCGTTATGCTCTGTTTTCCCCTGCATTTCCAGCTGTTCATTTGCCCTGTTTGAGATTTCGTTCCGTTTTCAGTCCATTTTTGCTTGAATTAATTGTGATTTAGTTCGAATTGTTTTGTAATTCAGATTACTGGAAGCCATCGATCTGATAATCCGAGGGGCGCAGAACCTTATTGTCCCGATTCAGACAAAACCCATCACGAAACGAAGACAGCAGAAGCTGCAGAGCCAAAACGCCGCCGTTTCGATCACCACCACCGTCCACAAGAACGGTCGCCAATTCTGCTGGATCACACAAGAAGACATCATCAGATTCCTTCTCGGATACATCGGACTCTTCTCTCCTCTTCCGGCGATCTCCATCGCCGACCTCGGCATCATCAACAGCACCTACGCGATCCTCGCCGTCGATTACAACTCCTCCGCCGCCTCCGCCGTCCCAGCCATCTCCCTCGCCCTCGCCGACCAGACCTCTGTCGCCGTCGTCAACGGCGCCGGCGACCCGACAATGGCCCTAATCGGCGAGATCTCTCCGCTGACGCTCGCCTGCTGCGACGAGTCCGCCGCCGCCGCCGTCGCAACCCTCTCCGCCGGAGACCTCATGGCGTACATAGACGGCGGAGGACCTCCGGAGAGCATCCTTCAGGCCGTCAAGAACCGGCTGGAGGAGAAAGGTCTGGTGGGTATGCTGTCGTTGGTGGAATCGTTGTCTGCTTGTTCGCCGGACGAGGAATCTCCGGCGAGAACGTACGGAAAGGCGGTGAACAGTTCGGCGGCGAGGAGGTCGGAGGCGATAGTGTGCAATCCGAAGAGCTCGTTAATGGCGGTGATGATACAAGCGATAGCACATCGGGTGAATTACGTGTGGGTGATGGAGACGGATTGCAGTTTGGTGGGCATCGTCACTTTCGTTGATATGTTGAAAGTTTTCAGAGATTTTTTGGAACATATGTGAATCCAAGTGTTTTGAGTTCAGTTTTTTTTTTTTTTTTTTTTTTTGCAATAAATAAGTAGATCACGACATTAAGACCTGGTTCCTGATGCATTTTGTCTACGTATATCGAGTCTCTCCGCTTTTTGGATGTGTTTATTGAAATATCAAAGTCTATTTTCGAAAGTGAAACATTTCATGGTTTAATGATTTAATTTCTGTAAATAATTCTAATACATGAGGGGAGATGTTTCATGGTTTAAATGGGGAAAAAGGATATATTTTTATTACATGTGTGTATGGCTAACCAAAGAACGATTTTTTTAAACAAACAATTTCAATATTGCTTTAAAGAGTACATGATTTGTCAAGTTGTAATATTGCTAATTAGCCTAATTTGATCTATTTGTATACTAGCCACCTTGTCTATATATGTGTATATGTGAACATATTGACAACACACTTAGAAAAAAGAAGGGAAATTTCACTTTTGAGCAAATTGCCGTCAAATCAATCCAATTGTTTATTTGAAAAAGTAAAACAATTAGTTTTTTTTTAATATAAGATAAAATCATTACAAATGGCATGCAAATTTATAGTATGCTGTTTACAAATGGCATGCAAATTTAAAATAAAGCATAGATGAAACTTTTATTATGGTCTTTTTTTTTAATAATTTAACTTTGTAGCATGAAATCCAAAAAGTGACCATAACCCAATAAATTGGAATGCAACCGAAATAAGGAATTATGAATGAAATTACAATACATTAATATATACACATACACATAAGATTGTTGTTGTTAGGTGGTGGATTGATTTGTCACATTAATTTCGTTAGAACGAACTTCAACCTACCGAGTGGGCCGGCTTCTTTTGAGGCTTAGGCCGAAAAAGTGTTATTAGATGTTCTCTTGCATTTTAGCAGGAAAAGGTCACGTAATCTTTGAAAATTTCATAAGATAAAATCATTACAAATATTTATTTTCAACTATGAATTTGTTTATTTTTGTTAAATCCATTTACCGATCTTTCATCTGAATTGTAAATATAATAAACGACATCTATATATGCGGTTTTGTAATATGCTTTTCAAAATGGCTTCATTCGTTTTTATACAACACGAGTGCTGAAGAAATGTATACAAAACTTTTATGCGTTGATTTATTTTTCTCGCCTTTTAGAACTTGAAACTAGGGGTGGTCATTTCGGTTATTAACCGAATAACCGAACGGTTGAGGAAGTTGAATAACCGTTCGGGTTCGGTTCGGTTCGGTTAATAACCGAATAACCGCGGTTAACCGAACGGTTATTGAATTTTTTTAATATTTTAATTTTTATCCTCATTATTATTAGTATTATTTTTTTTATACTCCACTTTTAACCTTATATATTTCACCCAATAAACCATAAAATGTAATATTTTTTTAATTTTTATCCTAATTATTGAAGTTTTTAGATTTTTTTAAAATTTAATTTAAAATGATTAATCATTTTGTGCATTTACTTAAATAGATATTTTGAAATTTATGTAGGATTAATATATTTTTTAAAAAAATATATCATAACCGAACTGAACCGATCTAAAACCGAACCGAATAAACCGAAAAATATAACTGTTTGGTTATAATTTTATTATGCAAAAACCGGGCCGAACCGAACCGAAACCGAACTGAACCGAACCGATTAAATCTATATAACCGTTTGGGTATGATTTTTTTATAACCGAAATAACCGAACCGAAACCCGAAATGGCCACCCCTACTTGAAACCGTAATCGGTGATATCCGGTGAAATTCGAACCGTGGATGTCGGAAAACACTTTGTGCTCCTATGCCACTGCACCACAACTTCTAAACAACAGTAATTTAACATTAGTGAAAATGGAAGCATCCTCTAGTAAAAACAATTTTACAAGATAATGGTTGTCTACAATACACTTTTGTGGTGAAGGCTAATGGGGATGCTTTATATACCGTGTTGTATGTCCTGTAATCGGGTTCAACCGATCCCGTAGTTGGTCGATGCATGGATTCTAACACAATGCTTCATTCCCTACCCGAAACTGCGAGTAGAAAGTATAGTTCTTGGAAACAAAACCGAAATGCGAACTCTTCGGTTGCTCTCTTTGCTCGATACATTCTAAAACTTTCTCTCCTCACCCAGATGAGGAATCAAGAATCAAGATTCTGAAAATGAATTGAGAAATGTAAGTTATATATAGGTATGGTTTTACTAGAAGGGAAAAAAAGCATCTTTCTCGGATGTTTTTTTTTATTACAACATCACAACATGTTTTTATTCTCCAACCCTTTTATTTCTCGCTTCTGACACAACTGAAGATACTGTCATCCTCTTGATACATCGATTCAACCCTTTTGCCAGTTTCATGGCACCGGTTCCTCGCCATAAACTTCATGAGCTTTGAAGATTCCTGTCGGAGTTGAATCCTCCTCTGTCTTTCTTGGAGAAGAGGCGATATCATTGACTTTCCATTTGTGAGTTGGCTCGCTTGTTCCAGTTTTTGCACCGCCTTTCGAGATCTGGTCAAGCGAGATGGGGACACCGATGATGGGAATGGTTATGGTTCCAATCCCTGGAACTGTAATTGTTCCTGAGAATTGGCCTAATGGTCCAGTGATTATACCGCTTCCTACTGTGAAACCGGGACATGACTCTAACCCACCAACCCCTCCTGAACCGTTTTGGTTACCGACTCCTGCCTTGGTTCCAGAACCTGAGTCGTCTGTGCTGCTATGGCTGACCGAACTGTCTCCGGTTTCAGCCTCTTTCGCTTCTAGTACGCGCCCACCGTCTGTGACAGGATTCTGCATGAGGGTTTTGCGTCCAAAACCGAAGCTAAAGCTTAGGAAGAAGAACAAGAACCCTATGCTTATCAGCAGCTTCTGTCTTGTCGGTTCTGCCATGTTTTTGGATCAAACAGTTTTATTTTTATAAGTGGTTAATAGTTTTAGATGAATCTACAAAAAGGAAGGTTATGGGGTTTATATATATATAAAAAAACAATGCTTGAATTTAAGAGAGAGATATACGGCCGAAAGTTAAATCAGAAAAATTTACATGTTTCTGAATTTGTGCATTGAATTTAGGCCCATGGCTTTTGTATGAGTTTTTAACTCTTGAACAATTTGTATCTTTTTAATTTGAATTTTGGAGCAGCTATTTCATGATATAAATTATATATTTGCTAATAGAATTGTGTGGCGTTTAACGTGGTTTAAAGCGTGAAACTACAAGAGGGGCTAAAAATGTTTCGAATAAAATAATGTGGGTGAATTTGTAATTTGTGAAGAAATTCAGGGTGAAAATAATTGTTCCGTATTGGGGACAAATGAATATAATTCTTGTTCGATTTCACAATTACCGTCCGAGACATGAACCCTAGAACCCACGAACCTGAGATTTTCATTTTCTCGCAGTTCTTTTCTTCGGCCGGGGAATTTCTACAGTGATCGCTCATCGCTGTCATAGATGTCGGCTCAATCTAGTCCGTTCTTATCCGATGATGACTCCGATCATCGTTCTGAAACGGAATCAGAATCAGAATCGGAATCCCAATCTCTCGACATGATCAGCCATCTCCCCGACGGCGTAATCCAACAAATACTCTCGTACCTCACGACGAAGGACGCCGTCGCCACGAGTGTCTTGTCGTGGCGGTGGAGATATATCTGGGAGCTCGTCCCGAATCTCAAATTCGACAATTCCAAGGCATATACATACGACGAGCGATTCTCGGATTTGGTGAACAATGCCCTTATGTATCACGGCGCGGATATTCTGGAGAAATTCCACCTGAAATGTAGCCCCTACGATGATTTCGAGGAGTTGGAATCGTGGGTTGACTGTGCCGTCGAACGTTGCCCGAGAGAAGTGAAGCTGTCTATGTGTTCTTTCCCAGGTCGTCATTTCGCCGTGCCAGCAAGTGTCTTGAACTGCGAGACGATTACGGTGCTGAAACTCAAGGGTGAAGGAATCTTCGTCGATGTTCGAGATACATATGTTCAGCTTCCCTGTTTGAAGGTCTTGAATCTGTTTTTTGTTCATTACATAGATGATAGTTCTCTTACTGGTCTGTTGTCGGGTTGCCGTGCGTTGGAAGAAATCCATTTTAGGCGATCGTTTTATCATGACAATATCAAGACCTTGTGCATCAATGTTCCTACTTTGAGGCGTTTGGTTTTGGTTTGCCCCAAGACTTTTGTCACGTCTCAGAAACTCAAGCTTGAGATAAAGGCACCGGCTTTGGAGTATCTTGAGCTTAGGGCTGTCCAATGTCAAGACTTACTAGTGGAGGAATTTCCCCAGTTAGTGAAGGCAACTCTCGATTTCTGTGAACCTCTCACCGGAAAACTTCTTGGTTCACTTCGAAATGTCAAGCAACTTTGTCTGGATAATCTTCCGAAATCTCTGCCTCAGGAGGGCCTTAATTTGATCCCTGAGTATCATCAGCTGGAAGGTTTGGAGTTCACGCTTGTGGATTCTGTGTGGGGTGTGCTGATGGATCTGCTCGAAAATTCTCCCAAGCTGAAAGCTCTCGTCATACGAAAGGTCAGCGTTCAATCTTTACCGATACTGTCTTGTTCGTTGCTTCTTAGTTTGTGGAATTGGCTGCTTGACATTTTTCTTCTCTCTGCAGGATGAAAGGATTCCGCCTTTGTCACATTGTTCGTTTCCGAAGTCTCTCCCTAATTGCTTTCTGTATCAGCTTGAAACATTATGTGTGCATGGATTCACTTGTTCCGAAGGAGAGATGAGTTTCGTGAGAGATATCCTAGAGAAAGGTGAAGCCTTGAAGCGAGTTTACATCCACACCTTCTCTTCTCTAATGGATTATGAAGCCAAGCAATGCCTTATCGAGCAACTTTCAGCATTACCCAAGAGCTCAGCCAGTTGCGAGATCGATATAGTCTAAGAAACAACTTCCTGGGGCCTCCAAATGTTGTTGTCTTGGCTGTTATTTTTCTCTTTTCTACTTAACCTCATTGCAATAAAGCGTAAAGATCAGGCTTGCTTAGTTGAATTGAACGTTGTATGTGCATCTAAGTGTTAGTTCTGCACTAGCCATAGTTTCTTGGATAGAACAGATGTGTAGCCATGTTGTTGTATATGGAAAGATGCACAGTTCATGTCACTGGTGATATACTTCCCTCTCCTTTTGTCAATGATCTTGTCAGTACTAATGGAGTTTTTGGTCTACCATAGTTCATGCATCTTAGGGAATGTTACTGATCTCTTTGGTTTTTTTTTTTTTTAAGGTTTTGCCCTCAACTGAAGTTAAAAGCTTTTACTTTGATTGCTGAAAAGGGTTTTATTTGTCTCACTAGACTAGGGTTTGTCTGAATTCCATCCCAAAACCTGCTTATTCTTTTATTAGAATCTGTTTGGGACTTAACTCGTGAGAAAGGTCTCGAATTCGCATGTGCAAATAAAAGAGAAGAATTTGGCACGTGGTGAATGTTGGTTTATGTCATAGAAATCTTCCTTTGGAACTGGAGTGAAGATTGTACATGGTTCCTTTTTTGTGTGGAGTGTGATTAAACAGACCGGATTTGGGTGTATGATGAAATTGAACAGGTGAGTTTCAAGAAGGATTGGGTGAGCACAAGAACCAGACGAAGAGAAGGAACGAGGTATGATCTCAACTTGCATGTGGGTTCTGTTTCCTAATAGTTACAATGGATCCAATTGAATGGACAAACAGAAGAAACAATAGGAACAGAACGAAAAACAATCAACAAGTACTCCAAAGAACGAGTCTTGACTCAGAGACAGAATCTACAGGCGTGATTTGACCAGGTCTTGGGGACTGAGTTGTCCAAGAACAAGCTTCTTCCTCACATCGAGGCTGTCCGTACACTCGAGATAGTACAGTATCCGTCTATATGTCATCCGTATGGGGATTTCCTTGAGCAGTCTGGGACGCTCCAATGGCTTGAACAGACCCAACTTCTCGAACAGCGCCGTCTCCATGGAGACAGCAACTCGGTTCACGTCGCAACCTTCGACCTCGTCTGCCATCTCTTCTCCGACCTCTTCTGCAACTTTCGACAACGCCGTCACAATCGTCTCTCGCACGTGATCTCGGTGCTTGTCTCCAGACCTGAACGATGTGGATGAAGAAGGGGGATTTTTGACACGTTTGGTCTGTTGTCTCTCTGATGCTTTCGTTCGAGCCTTGAAGCTCTGGTTCTCTGCGTAATGTCTACACCTAGTTGTCACCATTGTTGCCTGGCCGAACTTATGATTATGATGATGAAGAGTTCAGCATCTTCGTTGCTTATATATATATAGAGAGAGAGAGAGAGAGAGAGATGCAAGGGAAATCAGGAAATGGGTTTTTCCTTTTCTTATTTTCGAGGCTGGATTCACAGTTTTCCTTTCCTTGGAGAAGGTGGTTTGTTAGTTTCCATTTTTTTAATCACTGACCTTTTAAAAGTATTTTCATTTTAAAAGTAATTAAATAATATATAAAGATATTTTGGATTTTGACCGGACAGTGAGGAGGGAAGCTAACCAGTGCCCGCAGGTTGTCACTTTTTTCTGAAACCTATATTTTACAATATTTCCTATCTACTGCTGTATTCGCAATGTTTCCAAAATTATGATTTCGTCCCACAAGCTTTCGAATATTTCAAAAGAGCCCCTTCATTTTTTCGTTTTAACAATATAAGCCCTACATAGAAGCATCCCAACGCGGGGGAGATCTTGATTAGAAGGTTCGGACACATCTATGGCACTTGGAACGATGGAACTCATAACCTCATTGTATGTTTCAGGTCTTAGAGGAGGCTAGAACCTTCTGTTGCAAGCAAAAGCTTCCCTGTAAATTAAATTTTGGAAATTTATTATAAAGAATTGAGCGGTGGTCCTCAAGAATCAAGAATGTAATTTATTTTTATTTGTTTATAAATTTTATATAATTAAGTGATATTTATAAATAAAGATCGACGTACGTGGAAATCACGTCAAGGACCAGGATTTCTCCTTTTTTAAAAAAAAAAATTATGTACCCTGCTCTTTGCCATTCTCAGTGCTGGATTCTTGTGTCGTCTTCGTCTCCGACACGGTATCTTCTTCTTCTATAGTTGTCCGTTCTTCTTTTCTGTTCTTCCGATTCCTATACTCTCCGATCCAATTTTGATGTCTGTTGATCTTAGAATTTAAGATCCGCATTGTCGTTTGATTCATCCGCCTGTCGACTCCCTGTTTCTTGTTTAAGGAGAAAATAGACGGAATGAGATGTTTCGCCAAGAAGACGTGAAATTTTATTAATTGCGCATCATCGAAAATTGTGGACAGATTTAATGGGGTTTTATTTAATATCTAGGGTTTCATCTTTGGACATGATGAGTTAATCTGATGAACCATTGGTTTGCTATGTTTCTATTCCCTCAACAAGGGTTTATCAAATTTCGTCTTACAGAGTTCATGAGAACCCGAAACATAAGTCAAATTAGGCTGTTTCAATGATCATGTCCTCTATGTTTTCAGGTGTAGGAGGAGATCAAACCTTGGACAATTTTCTTGAACTATCGTGTCCATATGTTGTGTCGGCTGTAAAAGCTACCTTCCTGTGGATCATTCAGTGTATATATCTCCTGGATTGGTGGGTTCAAGAGATTTTTTGATGATTGACTTTGGCAAAGTTTGTGCTTCAGATAAAGAATCTGTATTAGGCATGCCGTTTGAATCGTCATATACATGGATTCATATAAGGGTTTTCGACTGTTCTTTTAGTGCAGACAGGAGACTCTGGTAATATCTCTGTTTTCCAAAACAGGTTTTTGGGCATGGAAGGAAGCAAAAACCTAATCATGTCACTGGTCCAACGGGAGCTAATGCTGATGAAAGTATCTGTTTTGATTGCAACATATGTTTAGACACGGCACCCGATCTGGTCTGGACACCCTTTTCTACTGGCCTTGCATCTACCAGTGGTTGCATGTCCAAATGTATTCTCTCTCCGATGATAACATCTCCATCAGTTCATTGGTGGTGGAAGAGGCTTGTCTTCTTCCACATTTGACCCAGGAAAACATGATCATACCGGGTGATCTGACTCACTTCATCTTCAGCACCATTCCCCTCGTTACCATGTTGGCTTCACAGCTACGAAAATCAACCGATCTTTGCCAGTGCGGTGATGATGAGTTTTGGAATGTTGGGCCAAATTCCCTATTCCAGCCGGAGGGTGAGAAATCGAGAAATGCAGCTTGAGAAGTTCCTTCATCGGGTATCAATCTTTCTCCTCGCAGTTATCCCGTCTTCTAGCTCTCGTCTTGTATAGTTTGTGATGCAGATATAATGGTAAGTCACTATGATATAGAATTACAGACAATTGTTTCGATTAGGTGCAGGCCATTAACCGTATACATACATACATACATCTATATATATATGCACACACTCATTCGAGCATGTATCCCTGTAAGCTACACATGCTCGAGAGGCTTATGAACATTTTAGACCCTTTGTCTTGTTTTTGTTGTCTAGGTGTGTGCGGTTAAAGTGGGCCTGTTAGCCCAAAAAGATGGATGTAGGGTAATATGTTAGGGTTTTTATTTACGGCCCAAATGAAATGCTCATGGGCCATCAGCCATCACGTCTCTCTTTCCGTCCGCAAGGAGAAACAGCGTGGAATATGTGAATTCTCGGAAACAAATTAATGTATGTCTCTTAATGAACATCGAAAAATAGATCAAGGGTCTTGATCACATTCACCATCTGGGTGAACAAAAAACTATGGAAACGGATGGATTCTTGATGATGAACCCTAGCTACTTACATTGTCGATGACCTAGTTTAGCTGTCTGAACGAGTCTGGTGACAAGGGAACCGAGTCGTTTAGCTCCAGGACCTGGTTCGATCTTAGAAGGGTCACCAACACTAGAGCATTTCGGTTTCCCTGTGCACCACCCACCAGGCGTGAAGCTACTACTGCTACTACCACCGTTCCGACCAAGCAAATCTTTATCGATCAAGTCCAACACAAGATCATTCTGTCTGAACTTGCGAGCAAAGGCGGACCCGCTCGCGACCATCTTCTCAGTGTCGTTGACCGTCAGTGTCTTGGGATGCTGTTTCGGAGGCCAGTCCCATGAGATGTAATGGAGGTCGTGGTTCACTACTGTCTTGGAATACTCTGGAGAGTTGCATATCACTGTGTGGAAATACCCTTCTGGCGTTGAGAGGAAATTCGTGTAGTACATTAGCAGAAGCCTCGGGAGATTGTCCCATCCCCATATGCAGTACTCTACGAACGAACGCGACAGTATCGTCCATGCAGATCCTGCATCCCGAATTTATATATATATTACATGCAAAAAAAAAACACGATATATGCACACGTACAGGCAGGAAATCTTGATATATATATAAACACTAACCGGTAAACAGCTTGAACGCAGTGGGAAGATCTCTCCGTGGTTGGACCCAAAAGACGTTGGACTTCGTTCTCAAGTAAAGCCCCGGGTCTATGATCAATGGCTTCGCTCGTTTTTCGCTGCAAAAAAATGGCAGTAGTTCTCACTCATATGATACAGATCAAACCCACGCCATTGGAAAGAAGAAAGAGCTTTTCTATTGAAAGATTCGGATTTACTTTTTCCATCCTAGTTTGCTCGTGTGTTCGACGAAGCTAAGGTTCCGATCCAGTTCTGAAAACGTATGGATCAGATCTGCAAAAAAAAAAAAAAAACAAACAAACACAGAAAGGGACATTGACCCGACAGAGATTTTCAATCCAGACAGAACTCAAACTAGGGTTAGGACATATATATTTATATACCATCTTGTGTGACAAGAGGATAGTCTGAAGCGCTGAGGTTGATGAACCAATCCCAATCTTTGCTCTTCTTCAAGAGAACAGCACAGGCGTGGAGTGTATTGGCAACCATGGTCGGCCCACGATAGGTTACAAGATTAGCCTTGGAGATCATGTGAACGTTCTTGACGCTGCTAAAGACAGGATCTTCTCTCACTCGCCTCGAAAGTTCCATCCTCTCTTCAATGGGTGACTCCAAGTCCAGATGAATCACGTACTGATTCCTCGGATGGTAGATCGCTCTCAACGCTCTCCATAGCCTCTCGAGATCTCCTCTCGACCCCGAAACCAGATATCCAAAACGAGGGAGCCCACGAGGCCTAGGCTTCGATATACCAGTGGCGGTATCCTTCGTGGGTAGATGGTAGAGATTGTTCTTGGCGAATATTGAATTGATGGAGCGGAGGGAAGAGACGAGACCTATGTTGAAGAAAGCAGCCATGGAAAACATGAATATGAACGATGCCATCACAAGGGGGAGTACCCATTTCTTCTCCGCGTTTGTAGCCGCCATTGGAGAAGCTTATGATCATGAGAAGCAATGAATTGCAAAACCTCTAAATTTCGTCCCGACCGAACACTACGATGATCTGATCAGACAAACCATATTTTTTTATGTTTATGGTTGTCACAGAAGCAGATTCGAAATTAATGGAGATTGCCAATGAATCAGAATTGACGCAGAATCAGAGTGGTCATTGTACATAGACGTACATGAAGATACGGACAAAAAAAAACAGACGAAGAAGAGACAAAAACGACAAGAACAACAAAACAAAGAGTGTGATCTGGTTATCTTCGTTTAACCCTGAAAAAGCCGATCATTTTCGAGATTCTGATTGTATTTTAAAACCCTAGATTCTGGATCTCTCTTACAAAAGAAACCCGTCATTGATGACGACGTGATCCCCAGACAGTTTCAGACGGATCTTGTAATAAACATTGAGATTGAAATTAATACCCGACAACTCCAAGCTGTTTGGAAACAAATCAGAAAAAAAAAATCCCAAATTGTTCGATCAATCAAATGAAGATACTCGGAGATGGGGAAAAAAAAACCTGTTTGTTATTTTGTCCGATTCACCGCAAAGGGTCCAGCCTTTTTCGCGGTTTACGAAGAAGAAAATATCATTTGTTAAAAAGCTATAATCTTTTGACTGTTATTTTTTTATTATTTGAAGATTATGGAGTTAGTGATTAATGCAACGCTAATCTGTGAAAAACGCCACGTGGAGAAGATTAAGAAGAAACGTGCAAACCCAAAGAGGATAATTATCATTTAATCAAATTCTTAACGAGGTTTTGAGATGCATGCAGATCTTCTAAAAGTGAAAAGAAAGTCCATAGTAATATATTCTTGAAGATTATATTCCTTTAGATGAAGAAGACCTTTTGATTTTTGTTTCCATTGTAATTGCAAACCTTCTTTCTTAATTTCTTTATTGTTTCCCGTTATACGTCGTTTTATTTATTTATTTACTTTATTATTATGAACGTTTTGACAATCTTTATTAATTATACATTAATGGCCATAAACGTAGCAAATTTAATTTTATGTTAAGAAAATTGGGGAAGGTGGGAGAGAAGTGGGAAAATGTGCATCGCTATCAGCATGTTGTGTATAATTAAAAACAAAATTTAATTAAATATCAGAAAACTACCATATTTTAATATTTTACCATATAAAAAAATACCATATTTTAAAATAATAATAAAATTGCCGGATGTACAATTGGGCCTCAATGGGCTTTGTAAATGGATCTTATTTCGTCCCATATTTGTGATCCCACCCCCCACGCCAACCCATTGCATAATAGAACGTAAGTAACTAAATAAATAAATAGAAATATTGGTATATTCTTTTATTTAAGAAGTCCCCAAATTTTGTTGAAGAAAAATAAAAGTGAATATAAAAAAATCCAAATGCATAGCAAAAACATTGACATTTTAGTATTAATTTGGTCAATGATCACAAATTTGAAAGATTTTTTTTTTCAAACGCTGTTCTTTTTTTCTTGCTACTTTCTAAACTCTTGAAATGCTATACTTATTTATTTTATTTTATTTGCAATTCCTTCACGTGACATATATTATTATTATTTACTTTCTTTTCTCTCTAATTATAAGGGTAAAAACGTAAATTGAGCTTACGTGGGGATGATCGTAACTGTCCGTCAGATCTCATATGCGAGTCTTGTTATCATCGCCCAGTCCGACGTGTCATAAAGTGTTTGGGTCTCCCACCTAAGTCCACGTCTCCAACACCTCTCTCTCTCTTCCATGGATATTTCTGTCATTTTGCCTTTCCTCTTTTTCATTATTATTATTATTATTATTATTATTATTGAAACATAAAGCAACATTATCTTTTAGAAAATCTTATTTAACATCTTAACTTTCACTCTAAATAAATTTGAATCTCACATAAAATTATTGATATATTTATTAAGTTATCTTTTTAGTTAAAAGTGTTTTAAAATGGTAAACTAAATTCTAAATATAAAGTTTAAATGATAGGGAAAATAAATTAAGTATAAATATAAAAATTTTGGATATTTTTATAAAAGTAAACTTTTATTTAGATGTATACATAATTAAGATTTTAAAAATTATTTGGCATATTCCTTATTATTGTTTACCTATCAATTGTTTGTATTTGCACTTTCAATGCCACAGTAAGAAATTTTTATTGTCTTCGTATTTTCTCCGGGTGTGCAGTGCGCATATATATATATATATATAAGTATGTACAACAGCGAATCATGCAGCTTGTTTGGAATTCCACAATAGCTTGGTTTCATTTAGATATGGCTGCAAAACCACTCGTTATAACATTTCGAAGGTGAATCCACTTACGAATCATTTAAGCTCGAGTGGGAATTGAAGTATGACCTCATTTTTTTTTTTGCGGGAAAGTTTTGTTTTTTTTAATCAAATGAATCAATAAATATACACACACGCACATATCTGTACAGAAAATGTTTGGTGAATACGAGAGCCCTTTCCCATCAGAGAAATCTGTGGTAATGCAATTTGAGGAAAATCTCTTTACCAATTTTTTTTTTATAGGAAAATCTCTTTTAATTGCTCATCAGACAAATTGTGGGAAAAAATTAATTAGAGAGAGAGGGGGGGCAATTGCGGGCTTTTTTTTTTTCAGAAATCGACGATGTATTTAGATTGAGATCTGACCAAAGCTTCCATTTTGATACAAAATCTTCAGGGACGAATATTTTCGAGGTCCTTTCTCCAAAAGGGTCTTCTGTTATCTTCTTCCAGATCTCTCTCTCTCTTTCCATTTCTCGGTAATATATGAATCCCATGTTTCTCTCTTTTTTTTCCCCTGATTTGTATGTTTTTTTATAAGCAAAAGTTCATCCTTTTTTCTGTTTTTTTGTTTGTGGGTGCTCATAATTTTGTTGGGTTTCTCCGTCTTCTGGAGATTTTCTGATCGATCATCCGAGATTTCTTGCTATTTGACTTGGGGAGATGATCTGGGTTTGTTTCGATTTCACTGCTTTGTGGTAAAGGTTTGATCTTTCGGCAGGTATTTGCTGTTTGTTTACTCGGAATCTGGTGTCCATCTATCAGTTTTCTGGATTAAGCTATGTCTGAACATGCGTTGAATGCCTGCGGTTAATTGTCGAACTCTTCGGTTTGGATAGATGATGTCTCGACTCGATAGATGATGCGTTGTGAGTTAGATCTTAGCATAGTTTCTGCCCAATTTGGTTGTTAGAATCTCGGTACCTGTTCCCTTTTTTGTTGGTGTTTTCGTGATTTGTCTCTACAGATTTGTTCAGGCATTCACGGTTAGACATGTCCTTTTGCATTAGGGTTTCGTGTTCTGAACAATGGGCGTTGAAGTTGGGAAGTCTGACGGATTCGAGGTTGCTCCTGCACCTTTTGAGGGCAAACCCGAGCAAAACGGGAAGTTCGATCACGGAAAAGGGGACAAAGTCTCGATCAAGTTCGGGTCTCATGACGAAACTAGCAAAGGGGATGAAAACATTAGCAGTGTATTCAGCTCCGACGCCCCGAAAGATGCGGCCGAAGAATGGCCCGCGGACAAGCGGATCCACACCTATTACTTTGTAAGGTATCGCCCTTACGAGGACCCGAAAATAAAGGCTAAGCTTGAACAGGCGGACAAGGAGCTTCAGAAACTGAACCGTGCCCGTGCTGGAATCGTGGATGAGTTAAAATCTAAGAGGGTTAGTTTCGTGTTCTGTCTTTCCTGCTCGATGAATTGTTCTTGTCGGGCAACATGGTTTGCGATATGAAAGAATGTGATGTTGAATAGGCTGCGAGATCGGAGTTATTCGATCAGCTGGAGCCGTTGAAAAACGAGCGTAAGGGATTCAATACCATTTTTGATGAGAAGAGAAAGGAAATGGAGCCATTGCAGCAGGCATTGGGAAAGCTGAGGAGCAACGAAGGCAGTGGGGCCCGTGGAGTCGGCCTCTGTTCCTCCGAGGGAGAGCTGAACAATATGGTACGGTCTTATTTCAAACCGCAAATACGTACACGTATTTGCTTTATTATTCTTTCGTTATATCATCATGAGTTGACTGGAAAAAAAATGCAGATATACAGCTTACAATATCGTATACAACACGAAAGCATCTCGTTGAACGAGGAGAAGCAGATCCTGAAAGAGATCAAGCAGTTCGAGGGCACGAGGGAGAAGGTCATTGCCAATGCGGCGATGAGAGCCAAGATCAAGGAGTCTTTGGGTCAGAAAGACGATATCCAAGATCAAGTTAATGTAATCGAAATGGAAATGTAACAACTAATATTCGGTTAGGCAAGCAGACTCGTAAATTCTTTCCTTTTTTTTCATACGTTTTCGTGATGATGTTTCATAGTCGATGGGAGCTGATTTGGACGGAGTGAAAAAGGAGCGGCAAGCAATTTCGGCCAAGATTAATCAGCTGAGCGAAAAGGTGAAAGCTATTAAAGACGAGATTCAATCGTTAGAGAACGACCTGAAGATTGTGACCGAGAAGAGGGACAAAGCCTTTGCTAACATTCAAGATCTCAGGAAGCAGCGTGATGAGACGGTACAGAACATTTGCCTCATTAAAGTTTTTTGGTTTTGCGCTCTCCGAGTTATGGATCGTGGCGGCATGTCCTTACTTTTTTTCCCGGGTTTTGTAACTGGGTTACAGAATGCAAACTTTTACCAAAGCCGGGCTGTCCTGAACAAAGCTCGGGAATTGGCTGCGCAAAAGAACGTAAAGGATCTCGAGGCGCTGTCACAAGCCGAGGTTTTTGCTCTTTCGGGACCAAACCAATTCTTCTCTTATGATGTCCGAGATTTTCTTTTGTAACCTTTTTAGTCTCAATTTTTTTTTGTTTCCAGGTCGACAAGTTCATGTCCCTCTGGTGTAGTAAGAAGAACTTCAGAGAAGATTACGAGAAAAGAATATTGACATCGTTGGATGCTAGGCAGCTGAGCCGAGACGGGCGTATTAGGAACCCCGAAGAGAAGCCGCTAGTCACACCAGAGGCACCGTTGTCGAGGGAAACGGCCGAGGTTGCACCTAAAGCCAAGGTTAAACCGATGAAGGAGGAGGATGCGGATTCTGCCCAGAAGACACAGAAAGCAACCAAAGACACAGGCAAAGCAAAGGAGGCCAAGTCCAAGCCCGACCATCAGGATACTGTGGATGACAATGATGATGGTGAAGATGAAGTGTATGGACTGGGAAAACCGAAGAAGGAAGAGAAGAAGGAGGTGGATGCAGCTACGTTGAAGGAGATGAGAAAACAGGAGGAGGCGGCGAAAGCCAAACAAGCAATGGAGAGGAAGAAGAAACTGGCAGAGAAAGCTGCTTCGAAAGCGGCCATAAGAGCTCAAAAGGAAGCGGAGAAGAAAGAAAAGGAAATTACTTTATATAACCATTTTGGTCTTGTTGGATAAGTTGACGGTTTCGTTATCTGACATTGGGTGTTAACAGGAGCGTGAGAAGAAAGCGAAGAAGAAAGGTGGCGTTTCAACTAATGACGAGGCAGAGGCAGAGGCAGAGGAAGTGGATGATGAAGGTCCCGAGCATGGGAAGAAGGAAGAGGAAGCTCCGGTTGAAGAGGAGAGGAAACCCGAGAAGGAGAAGCCGATAAGGAGCAGAGTCCGCCGCCCGAGAGGGCCGGAGACCCTCCCGAGGGCGATCTTGAAGCGGAAGAAGTCGACGAACTACTGGTTATATGCTGCTCCTGCAGCTGTCGTGGTCCTCATCCTTCTGGTCCTTGGTTACTTCTATGCTCTCTAAAGATCAAATGGAAAACAGAAACTAGGACAGCAGACGAAAGGATGAGGAAGTGAGCGAGCAGAGAGAGAGGTTATGAGCTCGTTTTTTGTAGCGTGGGATGTTGCAAAGGTTTCTTTTCGAGTTCTTGTTCTTTTAGTCGTCTTGGAGGGACGGGCGATCAACTCATAAGCCTTGAATCGTTTACGTATCTGTAGACTTTTCCAAGTTTTCCTTCTTGTTGCTGTAGCTTGACGATGTTACTTGAGGAAGAGAAACAATACTTGCGTTTTCATTGCCAGCAAGAGGATAGAGGGTAAAAGAAACACCGCGGAAGAGGCGAGAGCCATTCTTACAGAACCGAATCCAGTTAGTCTAGGTTCCTGCTGCAGCGTTCTTGTTTTGGTTTTTTTGGTAAAGGGTGAATTTTATATAAACATTAGAATTTACATGACGTTCGGATTCCATTCCGCCCCTCCGGATGCACTCATCATCAAGGGTTGTAGAATGAGCATCATCCAGGTAAATCATCAAAGCATTGCAAAGTGGCCAAGCATCAGAATCGGGATTATCATATCAAAGGGTTTGGGAATGAAGCCGGATTTGTTCTTAATTGGCGGTAAGAAGAGCTTTGATGATAGAGCGAGACCAAATATTGTAGTTTACCTCTCCAAAGAATTTTTTTTTTGATAATCGGGTAATCTCAGGCCCAAAGGGCCCAGACTAATCCCGACCCACACGCACAACCGGCACCACACGTGTGGGATGTGAAGCACCCGAAGGTGGCCGGAGGAGAAATCTCTATACGCTGGGTGTTGAACCCACGACTCTTGTTCAGGAAATGGGCTCTCAAACCAACAGTGTTGGGAGATCCCCTCTCTCCAAGGAATTCTAAACCTGTTGGAAGAATTAGAAAGAAATGAAGGTGTTTCAAAAAGGAGGAGGCGGTGCATTAAATTCATGGAAAAACATGGGGACATTTGATTTCTGAAAAATATTTTCTCCTTTATATATGAACACGTTTACTGTACGTGGTGCGTATATTTAATACAAAAAAAAAATGCATGGACTTCAAAAATACAAAATCTATGGTAAGCTAACAAATTAAAAATAATTGAAAAAAAAAACTAAAATCTATGCATGGACGTTCACGTATAAAGTATAATATTAATTTTTTTTAGTTGGTTTATTTTGGGTGAAACTCTGAATTCGATTGATAATGAATTTTATTCTCTTTGTTACTAATTGAGTCAGCCAATCTTAGATTATTTTCGGCATTTTTTTTTTCAATTTTGGTAGATTTTAATATCTTATAGACATACGATTATACTTTTACGTCATAATTAAATAAACGAACTAGGTGACTGACATGACAAATTTCAAAAATTCGGAAAAAATAAATTAAAGCCTAAAAAAATGATGATCAACGAATTAATAAAAAAAAATTAATGTGTAAACTATATATAAAAATGAGGGAATCTCACACCACTAGAAGGCGTTCTAGAAAACATTAATGATTTTGGGGTTTGAAAGAATTTGATCCTTCACGGAGGAATTGGTGTCCCCACGACCCACTTTTCCTTTTATTATTACTACATTGATTCGCCACTACATTATTACCCATTCTTAAAAATAAAATCTAAAAATCTTATTCATTACGATAAATATTATATATATATATATAACATCAATGTACATTTTTTTTAAAATATATTGTATCACACATATATAACAAAAATTACCACTTTTTTTATGATGGTATCACATTCTATCATTTTTTATAGTAAAATTATTTTTGTTAATTTTAATTTGGTCCGTTGAAAATGAAATTTGTTATTTATAAAGATAGAAGAATTGGATACTCTTTCCATTTTTCTCTTGTAATTTACTTTTTTTTTTCTCTATCTACTTCTTAAAGATCTGAACTCACTCACTTGGGTGTGTAGTGGTAGTTGTCACATAAGGAGAACAAATTCGCACTCACTGGCTATTTATGTTTTTGTTGGTTCTATTTTGAAATTAATATTTTTTATATATATATATATATTAAAAACATGTCTATGATGATGATGATGTCAATATTCTTAGTTTATGAGGGTAAAGAAGTGATGGTGCACAATGCAGATAGTGTTCGGACACAAGAATCTCAAGGATTTTTTTTTATTTAGGTCCGAAGAATTTTCAGAAATGAAATGGACATAAAAACATCAAAAAATCCATATTATATTATATTCACACATAAGCAACTTCCACTCTTCTTCTTCTTCTTCTTCTTCAACAATTCTCTCTCTTCTCTCTCTCTCTCTCTCTCTCTCTCACGAGGGTACGTGTATATCTATGGAGGTTTCTGCAACTTCCATGGCTTCGAAACCAGAAGATATTCATAACCCATCTTCGGGAATGGTGTCTTCTTCGAGAGGAGAGGAGAGTCCAAAGCCACAGGTCCAGATTCAGACAAGATCTGAGCATGTTGTCTCAGCTCCTTATCCGACAACGTTTGTTCAAGCCGACACTTCCACTTTCAAACATGTTGTTCAGATGCTCACTGGCTCGTCGGAAACCACCGTGAAACATCAAGAATCTCCGCCGCCGCCGCTGCTTCCGGGGAACAACAAGGGATGCTTCTCGATCCCGCCGATCAAAAAGGCCAACAGCTTCAAGCTCTACGAGAGAAGACAAAACAACAGCAACAGTAACAGTAGCAGTAACAACATGTTCATGATCAACACGTTGAGGGTCCATAGTACTCCGAGGTTGATGTTCTCAGGGAACAATCATGGCCATGGTCATGGTCATGGTCATAGCCCGGGATTCTCGCCGAGGAACTCGGAGATTCTTCTCTCTCCAAGCATGCTTGACTTTCCAAAGCTAGGGCTGAACAGCCCGGTTACACCTCTGAGCAACGATGACCCCTTCAACAAGGCATCGCCTTTATCCCTTGGAAATTCGTCTGAAGAAGAAAAGGCCATTGCCGAAAAAGGGTTTTATCTTCACCCATCTCCCATTTCTACTCCACGGGATTCTGAGCCTCAGCTTCTGCCTCTGTTCCCAGTCACTTCCCCTAGAATCTCCTCTGATTCATCTCCTACACATAGAGATTGAAGCGTATATATATCTGATTTGCTTCTATATTATAATTTCTTTTCCTTGGAATGGTATGTGAAAGCCTGTCCCTTTTTTTTCTTTGTATTCTCCCCGGCCTAATGGAGCATTGTAAATTCCATGTGTCACTGTCTTTGGACACTGATTTGGTCTTTATTTTTTGTTATCCAATGAGAACAGATAATATTATTATCATGTGAAACATTTCAGATTATATCCAGATTCTGACGTAGAACTCTGCATTCTTATCTCAGGTTGTCAGCATTTTATTTGCCAATTTGACAGCAATATGTGAACATAGTAGTTGCATTCTCACTTCTCATAGGAGAAAATTATAACACTTTGACTTTGTAACAAAAGAAAAAAACACAATTTGGAGTACTGAAGTTTGATTATCCGGAAAACTTCCACGGCTTCGGACCCATTCAATCATGTTTCAGCATTTTGTCCCCTGGACTTTGAATTTCATAGCCAAATCATGCAACCACGTTGCTCTCTCTCTCTCTCTCTCTCTCTCTCTCTCTCTATCTGCATTTTGCTCTTGAATTTTTCTTTGTTGATACGTTGTGTTTTTTTGGTCGCTTTTTCTTTTGACTTGAAAGAAAATAACGAGATTTGGAAAGAAAGAAAGAAAAAAGAGGAAGGAGAGAGAGAGAGAGAGAGAGAGAGAGAGAGAGAGAGAGAGAGAGAGAGAGAGAGAGAGAGAGAGAGAGAGAGAGAGAGGGAGTAAAAGACCAAATGAGTAGTGCGTTATGATGAGAGTTGAAAACCAAGCAAAAGGAGAGTCACCTTTGCTTCACATTACAAGCAAACACCATTCCTCCTCCAAAATATCTTTCTCTCTCTCAACACATTTCATGGGAACATACACAATTAACAAAATGAATACGAAGAAACTGTTTCAATATAAATTTGCCAAAATGTGTAATGGGTGAATTAAAGTTCTTATCTTTCAGCTCAAAGAGTTATCAAGTTTGAAACTTTCATCAGTTTTGTTCATGAGGCTGGTCGGTTGGTTATACAATCATGCAGGGGTTGTGAAGTACAAAGATTTGGATTTTGTGAAGATTCATTGGGTTTTTTTTTTTGGTGAAATGAAGTGTTTGTTTACTCCAAGTGATCCAGCGATTTCTTTCTAACTCCGACGATTTTCTTTCTTGTTCCTGCGAGCAAGAGGGCACGGGAGTTTAGCCGGATCTGATGAGTATTGACGTAAAATCTCGGGGCAAGGGAAGTTACAGATCTTACCGGGCTGTAGTGTCGAAAAAACCAGATAGATACTTCCGCAGATCTCCATAGTTTGTGTTCCCGAAGAGAACCTGTCGGATGGAAAGATGTAAGGATCGATGTTAGTGGAAGAAATCAGATGCTTCTATATCTCAATGCATCTAAACGCGGCCGGGAAACATATAGCATGTGACTTGATTCCCAGGAAACATATAGCATGTGCCTTGATTCCTGAAGAATGCCATCTTTCAGTTCAACGCCCTCGAACCCATTTCTCCATATGTGCCCCTGCACACAAAAAAGTAGAAGCGTTATGCAATCACGAGCTCGAGAACGATTTGCAAGGGCATTTTATCACGCAGACCACTCGAGATTAAGGATGACAGAGATTAAAAACAGTGTGTACATGTTCGGGCCGTGGAATAATCAAGACCCAGTTGATGAAGCTTGATGGGGGCATCGAAAAGATAATGATAACATTCAGCCTGGAATCGAGAGCATCAAAATTTCAGACAGAATGATCGTCCGAGCGCAGAATGATATTTGACATATTCTCGGGTTTCTTAACGTCAACTAGATATAAGAAACTTTCACAAACCCTTGTCTTAGCAATGATCCAAGAATCGCCCCAAATGTATATTCCATGATTTCCATACCAGTACAGCCGTTGTTTCTGGACAGGCTTCTATCTGAAATCGGAGCCAAAATGTCGAAACAATGTAAATAAAATTCTTTAATTGCTTATAAGCTATCAAACTCACTTTCAGCAAAGAAAAAGAGACAGTGAGTTCAGAAAATTTCATGAACATTGCAAATAGACAAACATACAAGCATGAGCAAGAGAATCTGTAAGTTCATTCTTGTGTTCTCTATTATTAGGACAATAAGTTCATCATAATATCCCATGATCTTTGGATCCCTTTTACCATCTCCATGGGTGTTACCTGCAACATGCCAATTAAGATGATAGATTAAGATGAAATTAAAAAAAAAAACCAAAATGGCTGGTGGAAGTAACAATGCATAATGCAGAGCTCAACTGCTGAAATGAACTGTAACTTCCCTTGAATACAATAAGAAGAACATACCTTCAATGCTTTTGAAGAAGAAAACATCAGCGTTGAATTAAAGGTGAAATGAAGAAGAAGAAGAAGATGGCCATGATAGACTTCTGAGTAATCCGGAATTGTAAGAGGAGAAACGTAAGGGACGATTCAAAACACCCAATTTCACGACATTTTTTGGATAATCAAAACAGTGCCCAGAAAGGGAATTAAAAGCATCTAACTAAGCAAACTAAAGGAAACTGAAAAAACCCTGTCTTGATCGACGTCAGAAACGCGCTCGATCATCAAAGTGTTGTCCCAAATCGAAACAACAAAGGCTGCCTACTTTTTATTTGATTTGTTTACCTGAGAGGCCGCCGAAGCTGGGGATCGGAATAAACTAGGAGACTCGTCGTCTCCATTGGAGACCTTCGAAAGTATGGCGCTTCTGCTTACGCCTTTTTCGGCCGCCATTGCCGCAGCAGAAGAGAAAAGCTCGAGCAACCCACAACAAGATCTTTTCTTTTCCTTGGATTTTTTTTTATGTTGGCGGGAGGCACAAAGCTCACGCCGTTTTGTTTGCTTAAAAATGACACGTTGTCTGGCTACGAACAAAACGACACGTTTTCTATATGTAAAGTCATGTTTGGTAACGATGAGTCTACTGCTTCTTGACCGGAATAACTATATCCTCGCTCACGAGTGTCGAGGTATAAATTTAAAATAAGGGTTTTGAGTATGAATATTATTTTTGTCTCAATTTAATCCGATTCATGACTGATGAAAATATAAAAACAGTATTTAAGAATAAAAAAACACAGGAGTTAAATGTGAAATTTGATTGTATCCGCAGAAACGTAACTGCACTAATTCTAAGCTGTTCTTGGCAAGAATAACTTTATTCCCGTTGGAGATAACTGAGATAAAGAGGTGTAAACTTATCGTTGCAACCCTGCGACAGAACTTCACTAAACCAAACCAGAAGCTCTCTTATCGTCTTCTCATGTCGAGAGGGACAGACCGCCTGTTCAAGAACCTGAAGCAGTTCGCCGATGGTCAGTACACGCAATTGTCGGCCCGTTACGGGCAACAAGTCATAGACATTCTCGACTTCCCCATCAAGCTTGTCTTGTCTCCTTTCACTCTCGCCTTCGACATCGCCGGTTCTGCCCCTCGCGGTTTCGGCATCCCCGAGTTTATCTCCAAACTATCTTATCTCTCTGTCTTCGTGAGTAGTTCCTCCCAAATCTAATTGCTTTCCAATGTGTAATAATCGGGTATTTCTGCTACTGGGTAGTTGTGATTCTGTGTCTGAACGGTTGGTTTGGAATTATGCTTGTAGAATTGTCTCGAATGTCTGATTCTGGGCTCTGGCGGTTGCCCGTTTCTTTTCGAAATTTGGCATTTTTCTCTTTGATGTTCGGATATTTATCGGAGTTCTTTAGAAAACCCAGCTCTAGGGTCGTGTTTGATTCTGTATTTGGAGTAATGTTGACTTTGACTCCATCGACTGCGCATTGCAGGCCGTTGCCACACTTGGAACCTATGACATTGCATTGGAGTTGGGAAAGAAAGTGATATGCCAAAGGTTTGCCTTCTTGATTCTTGACGTCTCATTCTCGCAAACCCGATATGTTTTGCAAACTGCTTGAGGTCATCTAGTGACAAGAAAATGTTCTCCGTTGCCAGGGATTGCAAAACATGTAATGGATGGCAAGCTTTAAGGTGCACCATGTGCAAAGGAACAGGGAGAGTTCACTATCAAATAAAGGATTACAACTTGAGAAGGTAGTTTTAGTATCTTTCTAGTCCATCTGATTGCTGCTTAAGGTACTTGGATTTTGTCTAATTCATTGCCCGCCGTTGTCCTGAGCTTTAGGCGCTACATTTCTTGTTCTGTGTGTAAGATTGCCACCTGCAGTTTCCTAGCAGTTATTGTAAATGTTAATAAGTCGGTAAAGAATGATGTGAGATGAGCGTTGTTTCGATGCCTGTAACCTCTCGGTTTTGGCATTCATAGAAAGACATACATCTCCAGGATTTTCTGTTATGTTGTCATTTCAGGTTACATCAGTCAGGTTCTAAGCTACCTGAAACTTCTGTATCTTTTCTTGCAGTGGAGAGAAGCCAACAGCGGATAGTGTTGCGGATGCAATTGTTGAGAATCGAGCTGAGTTGGTGCATCTTCCATCATCCATTAACCTTAGTGCACCATTGCCATCTAAAGACTGCCCAACCTGTGATGGAACAGTGAGATGTTTTCCGACATCGCGAATATTCTCGGCTAATGTTTATTCGATAATGCTTTAGAAAGATGCTGACTGCATTTTGAGGATAGCCCAGATAGACCATCTATCATATTGCATGCTAATTTTTTTTTTTTTTTGGGGGGGGGGGGTTCT